GATCAATCTATTAAGAGTTGAGTGCACTGTGTAAAAATGATGCTGACTATGCAAAACAGCAAGTCACGTGACAACCACAGCCGAACTAAAGTCGCGATGAAATGGAATGTATCAGAACTACTTTTTTGACATTTTAGCATTCGTAGGTAATATGATGTCACCAGGGTCGTTTTATCTAATGGGTAAAGGGACAGTTACCCAGGGGCCACCATCGTCAGGAGCCCACTGCGCTTTGCGATTACAATAATATATAATAAAATATGAGTGTATAATAAAATAATGATATTATTAAACCAGTTTTTTAATACATATATATTTTTTCCTTTTATATTTATCTAATTTTTTATTGCTAATAAACTGTTTATAAAATTGTATGATATTTTCTTAAAAGCAATGATAAGCAGGAGGGGGGCGCTAGTTTATACTTCGCCCAGGGCCCACCAGTGCCTTAACGCAGCACTGGATGCCACCGAAAACTGATTGCTTTGGGGAAGGGTATGTAACAGTCCTTTCCAATGCAAAATATTCATACCATCACATCATAAAAATGTGTTCAGATCGGGGATTTAGAATTTCTGAGGCAAGGATATCTCTTGTAATTAACAATAATTGAAAAGGAAGGAATATGGATCAACTTGGGGTACCAGGACCATCCAGAAAAAAAGACCTGAAATAAGACTTACTCCAGCCATGGTAATCAAAGTATGGCGTTCTGTAACAGGTGAAACGCCCTGAGCATAAATATCAGTGGTAAAAGCCGTCTACGTGTCTCAGAGAACAGTACCAACATAACCAAGAAGGATCTCCGTCTGGAAAAGCAACATAAGTTACTTCCTTAACATATCCACGACGCTCAGTTGCGGTGTACTAACGCGCATTAACGATTCTTATAGAAAAAATATTATTACTGATAAATACAACTTAGTGTGCATTTCTCCTAAAGTGCGACTATGAAGTTGATAGATTTAAATAGGTTTTTACTTGATTTTGAAAACCATGCATAGTAAACCTCAAAATGTCTATAGCTTAATTAAGCCTTGTCCTTTATGGCTTAAGGACGACATCAAGGAATAGTAGCGGAGGCATGGTTTTGAGTTTCAGTTTTATTATGTTGTTTATATATATATATATCCACACTAATTGGCTCTAGTGGTTCAGCGGAATGTCTGCGGACTTATAACATTAAAAATCGAGTTTCGATACTCGTGGTGGGCACAGCATAGATAGCCTATGGTGTAGTTTTGGGCTATACAAACAAACAGTTCACACTAATCCAAGTGTTAAGAGGTTAAATAACATTGCACTTATTAGTTTCTGTCCATATTGATTATTCTTAGTTTATTAAAATAGCATGTAAATAGTCACGCTAACGTTCGTCAGCAGCGCCTCTGATGTTAGAAAAGTGAAACAGAAAATTAGCTATATATATACACCTTTCTTTAATGATAACGTTAATCCTCGATCTAGATTTGCAGTAGAGGATATAATAGTATATACCCAACAAATTTCTTATGTTCAAGCTAAAATTCCAATCCTTGTCTATTTGTTCTAGAATTTACGCGCAAAGTTACAAAAGAGCTATCTGACCATAGCCTTCCCCTTTGACGGTGGGTGCTGTTGACTGTCTACCTTCTCCTCGGCAACTCAGTTCAAAACTAAAGACGGATAGTGCAGTAGTGTTAATGTAGCTTTACAAAGCAAAGTAACAATAGAGTCTTCGAGTTACTATCACGTTTTTGCTGCCTTAACAAACTGACATTAAAATCTCCAAAACGTCAGTACGCCTGTACAACTGTTGCTAAGTGACAATGCAATCTTTGAGCTACTATCACATCTTTGCTACCTGACTTAAATTATGTTAAAACCTCTAAACCACTTTTACACCGTCGCTTTCTAAGCTCACTGTGGTTACATATAATTATATATTTTCTTTAATTTATCTTATAAGTTTTTAATATAGCCTTTTCCCATGGACGCTGTGGTCACTTGACCTGCTCCGTGACCAAAAGAGACTAGATTACTGGTTCACCACTTCTTCTTATTAAGAGATGTGTGTGTGTGTTTTTCTTATAGCAAAACCACATCGGGCTATCTGCTGCGTCCACCGAGGGTAATCAAACCCCTGATTTTAGCATTGTAAATCCGAATACTTCTGAATAATTATTAATGTTAATTCAAGTAACATAAATAAAAAATCATATCAATAATAAAAAATTTGGGATTAATATAAATAAATTTGGTTGTTGTTAAGCGCAAAACTACACAATGGCTATCTTGTACTCCTCACACCACGGGTATCGAAACCCAATTTTTGACGTTGTAAATTAATATAAGTAAATAACTTGATGGTAATAACAATTATAAACATAATTCAGATGCGTAATGATCAAAACACAGTAATTGATGATAATTACAGTTCACCAACTTAATCTAGTCCATACCGAAACAGTTGTTGTTCAAATAATTTATGTTATAAATAACGTATCGACCCCTTACTATGTCTGTCGTATCCCGGCTGGCCTGATGAACCACGGTACGGACGAAAAACCTCGTTGGCACTGGGTAAAGCAGGTGTAGTGCGGTTGACCTTTCATTACATATTCTTCTTTACGTTTAGGCCCGGCATGGCGAGGTGGTTAGGGCGCTCGACTCGCAATCTGAGGGTCGAGGGTCCCGTCAAACATGCTCGCCCTTTCAGCCGTGGAGGCGTTATAATGTGACGGTCAATCCCACTATTCGTTGGTAAAAGAGTAGCCCAAAAGTTGGCGGTGGGTGGTGATGACTAGCTGCCTTCCCTCTAGTCTTACACTGCTAAATTAGGGACGGCTAGCGCAGATAGCCCTCGTGTAGCTTTGCTCGAAATTCAAAACAAACTTTACGTTCATTCCTAAATCCTTTTCAATAATAATCTTGTTGCTTGAGCTGACTATTTTCAGTCTGTAATAAACCAAAATAGCCTCAACTGTATCAGAGCTATGAAGAGACAATTTTCTTCTGAGCGACTGTCACAATATTATTGAGTGAACTATTTTCTGTTTGTTTTTTAACACTGTAGTCACTTTTGTTTACCATTTGCATTACTAAACTATTATTTTCGCAGGTATGGAACGTGTAAAACTATAAGTCTCTAATATGTCTACTTTCTCAGCTGAATGGCGCACAAATTTATGAGTCGCTACAAGACTTTTCCTACGTAATTAAATTACGTTACGTGTAAAGCTTAAAGTTACTGTTACCTTGAGTTTTCTGACTGAATGATAAGTATACGTAAAACTTTAAGTCACTAATATATTCGCACTATTAGTATACCCGAGCTAAGAAGTACAGAATTATTTGTTACTATACTGCGCCTTTTCATTCGGAAATTCTAGTGTTTTCTAGAATGAACTGTTACTTGCAAAAACTCGAAGTTATTTCGAAAAAAGAACGTAATAAAGTACTATGCATACTCGTCCTTTCAGCCATGAGAGCGTTATAATGTGACGGTCAATCTCGTTATTCGCGTGTAAAGGAATTACCCAACAGATGGTGGGGGAAGGGGGGGGTGTTAACTAGATGCCTTCTCTCTAGTCTTTCACCGCTAAATTTGGGACGACTAGCGCAGATAAGTCCTATAGTAGCTTTGCGCAAAATTCAAAACAAATAAACAAATTAAATACTACACGGGTTTTATTTCCAGCGTGTCCAGAATTTTATATGTTATAACAATCATGGCTTGTACTGTTATTTGAATTTCTTCACGCTGACAAAATGTCATTTGTTTCACAGAATAAGAGCATCTTAGCTGTTACTACCGGCAAGAAAAAGATTTAAAATATTTTTAAAATTGATGAGTAAAAGCAGCTTGGCAAATCTAGATCAACATGGTTAGTGCCAGGGAAACTAAATTTTTGAACCTAAAGAAACTGTGTTTTTGGTATTAAGGAAACTACGGAAACTGGATTTTTGAAATTAGGGAACTAGGTGTTTGAACCTATAAAAAGAATGCTTTCAAAACTGTGCAAGCTGAGTTTTTAAAACTAAGGCGCCTGGTTTTCTATACAAGAAGTATTGTATTTCTAAAAGTTTTTGAAACTAAAAAGAATTACACGGTTTGTAAAATTATAGGAATGTTGATTTAAATACTAAAAGCTTCTTTACCGTTAAAACTTGTGTACTCGAGTGATCGCACCAGTGATCGAGACATCGTACCTGTTAAAAAAAAATATTTCTTACTGTAAAAGTTCCAACTTGTGATAAGATATAACTAATTGATTGTTGCCCATCATAAACTAAATTATATTACCTTTTCATCGCCCATAATTGCCCCCCCCCAGTAGCACAGTGGTATGTCTGCGGACTTACAACGCTAAAATCCGGGTTTCGATACCAGTGGTAGGCAGAGCACAGGTAGCCCACTGTGTAGCTTTGTGCTTAATTACAAACAACCAACCAAATCGCCCATAATCAAGCTACTAAAAGACCTGCCAGCAAAACTGCTTTTCTGGTTTGTTGTTCTTTAGCTATTATATATTGGTATCTAATCATCTTGATGTCCACTATTTAGTCTTACTTGTAGTAATAACTCTCCTTTCCATTCAAAGAGTACAGTTTGTTTGTTGTTATGCGCAAAGCGGTAAAAGGCCTCAGACTTGCCACTGAGCCACCGGAGGGACATTAAAAAACATACAAGTAAAATTCTGAGCGTGTAGATTGCTATTGTATACTTTGATTAATATTGGTATAAATCGAGGAATTTCTCAAAATTGAGTCAATGACAACAAAAATTTGCTAAACAGTCAAATGCAGTTTTAGTAATTGTATTGAATAATAGTGATATTTTTTTATTTAAGTAATATTTTCATACACTATATTTTATTCGTTTCTTACCTCCGATACCCCCCAGTGGCTCAGCGGTAAGTACGAAGGCTTATAACGCTAAAAATCGGGTTTCAATACCTGTGATATGCATGTAGCCCATTGTAGCTATATACTAATATTAGTATTAAAATTTCACTTACAGTATCAAGTTTCTTGGACCGATTGTTTCTTCTTAGGCTTATAGTTTTTCAGCTAGTGATCCATTAGTTAATACTAACTTAGTCACTTTTCTGTGTACTCTATGTCATCATTATTATTTTTAACATTGTTTTGAACGTTAAGATATTCTGCGTATCTCAGTAACAAGCCTTTCATAGGGGGACGGTTCGATATTCCGAGAAATTTTTGCCTCTAGACCTGGAGTTTGTGTTATTCTTCTTATACTTTCCCATCCTGTTCCTAAAATAATAATAATAATATTATGATAATTTTGACATAATTTTTCAAAAGATTAGAAACTTTCATTACGGGTAACAATAATATAGGTCTCTAGAATGGTTATAAATAAGTTATCGGCTATTTTCCCTGATATAACATTATACACATATTAATGTTTATGTATTATATAACAACCAGAATGAACATTAGCCCTATATGTGCAATTGCTTTTACGTTCAATTTTCGAAACATTGGTCCTTCAGAAATGTGATCCTTCGAAACTTTCAAAGTTATATGCAAATGAAAAAGTTCGTTCATATTAGTAGAGCATTAGATGGTTTGATTTTTAAACTATTTACTCGTGTTACTTATCTAGGTTACTATTTCGTCATGATATGGAAAAGTGTCGCAAAGTTTTTGTAGTTTATTTATTAACATTTAAGATGCGAAAATTTAGAATTAGCAAGTACTAAAGCCGCAGTCTATTTTTGTTTTTCCGTGTCATGGATGTTTTAATGTGTCTTTATTTAACATCATTAAAGTACTAAAATGTTTGGAAATTAATTTTTAAAAATATAAATAAAAGCATGATTATGAAGCTAGATAACACAAGAAGTAAAGAACTTTAAAATTTTCTCCTTTTAAATGCAAACTTGCAATTTAAAACCTATTTTAAAAGTTCATCATCAAAAATTACCTTAGCCTGCTGACAATGTACTTTACCTAACTTCGTCGTCTGCTCATGTCTGTTTCATTGAGGGAATTTTCCACTCCCGCCTATCTTCTCCTCTGGCCAATAGAAACCACACCATCTTAGTCGGGCCTTACGTGTAACTTGGCGATGTGCCAAGCTGACGCACCGGCAATACTAGTTTTATCACATGTATTGTATGTTCGCCGATTTGGTCAAAATCAAACAGTTTTGGGAGACAAATTTAAACTACTCAAAAAACAATTAAATGGCAAGGATTTTATACAGTTAAATTATTCATCAACCAAATGAACAAGAGAAGGAGCATAATTTACTCACTTAATACAGTTAATAAATCGGTTTCGTTGGTAATATATCAGAAACTACAGCTTGTGCTGCATTAATAATTTAAAATTCAGAATGACCAGAAGTAGGGCCCGACTGCTAAAAATTTGCCTTCCGCATACTTCTGATCAGTAGGTATACGTATTTATGGAGTATCCTATCTCATTTCTTAATAAAGTAAGTCCAAACTCTGACGTCACGTGTTAGGCTTAGGTGTTGACATACACAGTGTTCAAATGAT